ATATTTTAGTGCATTTGCTCATCAGGTGAATTCATCGATGTAATAAAGTCCATAGGAGTCAAAAGCAAATTGAAGGGGGAGGGGGTTAACCAACAGAAAAGGTAAACCCCAATTTTCAATGCATAAAAAATGTCTATCTTTGCAAACAAAAAGTGAGGGGCTAAGCCCAGCCCCCCCCCCTCCCCCGGTTCTGACGACTATGAAGTGAATGATAAAAGAATTGATTGAAAATGAAAATACTGTGAATGTATTACATTTGGCTTGTACAATATTTGGCGGAAATTCAATTTTCAACAAGTTAAAGTAGGTTTGATTTAGCGCTGTCTGAAGTTGCCAGTTATAAAAGTTAATATATGAGACATTTAGCGATGTACTTGAATTAGCGGACTCTGTTTTCTACCAAAATTGCTAAATAGAATACACAGCTAAATGTAATACGTTTATAGTATACGCTTCTCAAGATTCTAGTTCAGCTTTGAATATCTTGTACTTCCACTGCATGGATATGCTTTCAAAATTGTGAAAGTACTTTTTCAAATGCTAAATTGTTTGCGTCCGATTTGATGCTTTACATCAATTTTTAATTGTGGAAAATATTAATTGAGTCAAGGATGTTTTAGGCATTTCTTATGCTGAATATTGAGCGTGGTGATTGGTTATTTGAAGTTTCCTTGTGGTTTAAACAATAAAACATTGGCATAAATCTAAAAGTCTGAAAAATTAATACTTTTAGTGTGTTTTTTTTGCTATATACTTTAATTTCAAATGAATATAATTAGATATAAATATTTTTCAAATAACAAGAAAAAAACTATAGCTATTTCTGTCAGATTTTAAAGTTAAATCATTCTTGCCTAAGTGCATAACAATAAAGTGTTAAATAAGATACAGTTGTGCGGAGTTAAATAGATTGTTAAATAATAATTATTTGAACATGTGTTAAAATAAGGTTACAGGCACTCTTGTAAAATATTCCCGAAATAAATTGAGTTTTTTTTCTGAAATAAACAATTGACCAGCGGAAATTAAAAATTAGATAGATTTTCTAGGATCGTTTATATAAGTATTTTTTTTATTATTTATAATAAATTGATTTTGTTAAAAGGATAGAAATCGAGTTATGAATATACTCTTTTTTATGTTTGCCATAATGTGTCTTTTCGTTTACCATAACGGGCCTCCATACCAGTAACCATGCAGACAAAAATAATCTTTTTCTTCTTTAATTCCATAAACCCTTTCCAGTGCGAGTTGACAATTGCAACAAGCATTAATTTGTGCACATTTATGAGCAATAAGTGAGATTCAAACAGACTTAAATATCCCCGCAATCATAGGTTGCTATGTTAAAAATGCAACTTCCGTTAAAAAAAAGAGTGCTCGCATTATTAAACGCAACGGTAGAAAATTTATTAAAATTCAAAACATCAAAGCATGACAGTTTTTGTTCATTTTAATACCCACCATGACTTGCGGTTCAAACGCCTTGCATGGTATCGGATGAAACTGAGGGTATCCACTGCAGGAAATATAGCGTAATTTCACTATAATAGTGAGATACCACTATTATAGCGGAATTTACGTTTCCCCCCAACCTGTTTAATTAAACGTGTATATACAGTTTTTCAATGCCTATTATATTATAATTTTCTATTGTATGTACACCTGAATTAAAATGAGTAGCCACAGGATCATTTGTTTCCCTTCTAATTAAAGACGAATTAAAAACATGTCTTTGATATTAACTATCACCAGTTTCTCCCATATAACCTATTTTGTCACACTTTTTTACAAAAAATTCCTTTATATCCACAATTTTTCCACTAATAAAAGTAACTTTCACAATATGAAAAGCCTTTCCGTAGCTTGTTCTTGTTACTTGAAAACTAGTGAAGACACGAGAACTTGAGTTGAGTGAAAATGTCATTTATTGACCAAATAAATGACGAAAGTGAACAAAAACACATAAATATACAATATTACATACAATCATGTAAATTATAGCTGGGATAAGGCCAAATAATGATTAGTTTCGACTTAGATATGATATATTGCGACTTAATGCTTATCCCAGCTATTGTTATGTAATGATTACCAAGTTTGTGTAACAAGAAGGTGGCGTAAACAAAGAGGCCACACGGCATGGTAAATGCTTGATGTTATACAATGAGGAAAAAATTCCATACAACAAAAATTCAAATATTGGTATTACATGGGAGGAGGATGGGGACGTGACGGTAACTTGATTCCAACCTCATGTTTGCGTAAAATCAAATTAATTGAGCACTCGATCCCGATCAAGCCGAACCGATCCAAACATGAGTTCGATCCCGATCCAGTCGACCCCACTCTTTTTACATTAAAAATCAATAACAACTGCAATTTTAATCTAAATTTGTCAAAAACAATGTAAAAAAGATTGTATATAAATCAATTTATGAGACATAAAATTGTATTTATATCCACAACTTTTCCACTAATAAAAGTAACTTTCACAATATGAAAAGCCTTTCCGTAGCTTGTTCTTGTTACATGAAAACTAGTGAAGACACGAGAACTTGAGTTGAGTGAAAATGTCATTTATTGACCAAATAAATGACGAAAGTGAACAAAAACACATAAATATACAATATTACATACAATCATGTAAATTATAGCTGGGATAAGGCCAAATAATGAATAGTTTCGAATTAGATATGATATATTGCGACTTAGTGCTTATCCCAGCTATTGTTATGTAATGATTACCAAGTTTGTGTAACAAGAAGGTGGCGTAAACAAAGAGGCCACACAGCATGCAAAATGCTTGCATGAAGCATGCAGCGCCATCCAAGGAAAGGCATTTCATAAATTATATACTGCTCAATATTAAATGTAGCTAGCAAACATGTGTTCTTTAACAGATAATAACATTGTGAACTGAATATCATGTAACCGTATGGACTAAATAAGCATAAACATTAATAACCCACATAAGCACAAAGTTATATCTGAATAAGTAACAAAATATAAAGGACAAAGGTTACTAAACCTGTGAATAACACAAGGTTAACGAGACTAAAAAAGAGACCATATGCTACCTCATAAACAACATAAGCTCATTTTACAATTAATATTTTATGAACATTCATATGCTCAACTTATGCACAAAATTCAGAACAAAATCCTGCTGAGTTCCAACTAACATACAGTTTTTATAAGCAGCTGTTCGCTGACCTGATACACAAATTTTTGAACTTCTAAGCTCATAACATGATACAATTTTGTAAACAGATATATGCTGACCTGATACACAATTCTCAAGACCAAATTTAAAGCTGAATTGCAACTAACATACATAAATTTTATGAGCAGCTGGGTGCTGTCCTCAAGTATATTAGCTTGCAAATATAAGGCCAATATGAAGAGTAAAATGTGCATCTAACTAGCACTTAATTTTCAAAGCGAACACTTTGCAAGATCACTGACCAAAGTACTATTTTATTTAAGCAGCTAAATGCTGACCTCGGAAGGTTTAAATTTGTTTTGTTTTTTTGATAGGATGCTTTAAAATTTTACAATTTATCACAGCAACCATTAGCTGGCCTAATAGACTTGATTTATACGTTTAATTACTGAAATGGATGTAAAAAGTTTATCAGATTCTAATTAAATTCTGGAAAAAAAACAACATTCCTTGATTTACAATTAAAAGTCCACTTTTACAAGGAAACTCACTTTCGTCCAAGCCCGGGGTTGAACTCTCGATCTTCGAAATCTGTTTCCTAGTAGTACAGGAACAGCGCGTTAGACCGCTCGGCTATCTAGGCAAGTTAAAAACCTTCCTTTCGATGCCGATGGAATTTTCACAACGCTGCCCTACACTACACGGTCATTGAGAATAGAAGCGCGATAGTTAATATTTGGACATTACTTTTTAGAGGATCGTTACCTATACATGTTGTGATAAAATTAATTTTATCTATAAAGCACAAATTACAACAACTCTTAAACTAAAATAATTAATAATTAGTTAATAAATATTAATATAAACTAATAATTGAATACATGTAATTGCTTGAATATGCTTATTTCTGAGGAAATAATAAGGAATTTCATTTCTGAAAAGTTATCAGCAGTGCAATGTTTAAGATGCTGATTTTCTTTTAAATGAGAGTTGCGGTTTTAAATATAGAAATTTTGATCAAACTTTTGCTTTTAGTTATTCACATATGTAACCCGAGCACCACAGAGCGGAGCATACCCAGCTTTTCAATAAATCAAGTCAGTTTTGCTCCTAGTGTAAATTTCGTCCCTTCTGTTATAATAACAGTACAAACTTACTCACCCAAAAATGAAAAAAAAAACAAACAAACTATGTTTCTTGATTCCATTCGTTGCGAGACGATAGAAAGAAAAGTAACAAGATGTGTATGTGAAAAACTATGCGTCCTGCGGCAACAAAGTTCGATATTGCTATTTTAGCACAAAGGTTGCAGTCAGATCATAAAGTCAAGGACATTTGTGTCATTTGAATGATCTTAATTAGTGGAGCATACTAAATTTGAAGTCTCTATCTTTTATGGTTTAAAAATCATATCGAAGGTTTAAAAAGGCTATTTTTTCGCATATGGGTCACAGTTAAAGTAACAAGGTCAATGACCTTGGTATCATGTGTAAGAAATTTATTAGTGGAGTATGCATATCAAATATTAAGTCTCTACCTCTCAAGGTCCATTGTTATTGCGACTGTTCGATAAAGCTATTTTTAACATAAAGGTCAAAGGCAAGGTCACAAGGGCATTGAACTTGGTATCATTTGAATGAACTGCATTAGTGTAGGTTGCATACTAAATATGATGTATATCTCTAATGGTTGAAAATTTATTGCGAATATTAAAGTTGATAGACAGACAGAGGGGCAAAACAATATGCGCCCCCGATATATTGATCTGGGCGCATTAAAAAATTAGAATTTAAATCTCAAACGTATGTAGTACTTAAACGGTAAAAATACTCACGTAAACTTTGCTATGATTAAGTTGAAAAGCAGAAGGTTAGTAAACATCATGTAGAATCCTGCAATTACGTAAGTTGGCCATGTCGCATATAATTCTGTAGAATATGAAAAAAATTGATAAATAAACAAATAAATAATTTGAACAAAAGAAAAAGTGAGCAAGCTCATATACCCCAAGCGTCCCCAAAACTCCAAGTGCTAAAATTCCCGGAAAAATAAAGGAATCGACATTTCCCTGTCATATGCACATCTTCACATTGTGTTCTAAATATCTGCAAAATTTGACTAAATTCTGTGCAGTGCTTTATGAGGAGTTGCGCTGACAAACTGTTCCTCTCTATATTCAAGATATGGCAAACAATCTAAGTTGAAAATTTGGAAATTTCCGGAAAAAAAATAAAGGAATCAGAAGTTCCTGCTAATAAGCACATCTACACATTGTGTCCTAAATATCTGCAAAGTTTGACCAAATTCTATATGCAGCGGTTTATGAGAAGTTGGGCTGACAAAAAAAAGGACTGACGGACTGACTGACTGACTGACTGACTGCAGGATGGGTAAAAAACAGTATACCTCACGCAACTTGTTGCATTGGGTATAATAAGAAGTTTTAAAGCAGTATAATTTTTTTAAATGATATCTCGATAATAAAGGGTTTCATTGTCTATGTCGGTTTCTTGTCATTTCTTCGTTCTCTGAAAGATTAAAGGAGGAAGGAAATTAACATAGGTTATTATTTATCATTTTCTGGAAGAGATTACGCAAGTGGGTATAGGCTAAATATGGGGTTTTCCATGCAAATGACTTAATACAAATGCATAAATTGTATATTTTATGTACAGAGAAAGTTCAACTTGATTTTCTTATACATACTTAGTACCCAGAGTAAATTATTGCAAGTGCACATTATGACGTCATAGTTCTTTCCCATTCAAGGTAATAAAACGCATCAACAAAACAACGTCGGCGCAAGGGCATATCCTATTTAAGTTAAAATAAATTAAATTTAATATTAAGGAGAATATTCTTAAAATTAATAAAATTGCTGCACAAATCCTATCCTCTTCTTCAATCGATAAAAATTTTACTAAACTTACACTGGACTGTACATTTTTACCCTGTTTCAACTTAGAACTGTACGAATAGTAACTTAACAATTGCAGTGTCGATATTTGGAATATTCTGCTTTTCTTTATACCTTGTTTCTTTAAAATAAAGTAGGTTATGCCCTTGCGCCGAAGCGATTTTGTTGATGTTTCTTATAAACTTGTGTAGTAAAGGTCGATGACGTCATAATATAACGTAATAATGTGTACTGGCAATCGCATATCATGGGTACCAAGAATGTATTAGAAAACAAGTCTTAACATTTTCTTTGTGGTATGTATAGCAATTATGGGTCATAATTAATTATTTTGCATAGAAACCTCCATACGTAGCCTTAACTCACTTGTGTAATATATGTGTGTTTTTATCATCTATGAGTTCTCACCCAACAAGAATTGGAAGCGCATGTCATTTAAAAATTTAATGTAAGGCATTATACAGTTAAAGTATATCATTTAGGGAGTCAGCAAGATTCCAGTTCCCCAAGAGTAAGTTATTTCCCGAGGCGCTTGCGCCGAGGTAAATAAGCTTACTCGAGGGGAACTGGAATCTCGCTGACTCCCTCAATGATATACTTTAACTGCTTTATTATACCGATACAAACAAGACATTTGAAAAAGTTATATTCAATACTGCACGTATTCTGTAACAATGAATAGTAAAAAATTACAACAAAACAGTATACAGAAATGAATAAAATCCCATTTTATCAATAAATCAGTTCATTGTCCGAGTTTTTACTTAGTAAAATCGAAAGTATCTTCAGCTCGCCATTTCTGTTGTCGTTTGCTACCAGTAAACTGGTTCTTTTTTATTGATATGGGACCAGTTGACTTGCAATGCATCTCGATTCATTAATGAATATTCATGAGTTTATTCGGAACATTATTAAGTTTGTCGTAAGTCTAAAGAAAATGCTAAGTGTTCCGAATAGGTGTGTATCAGTTCATAAAAAACGTACTCTTTTGCAGGGAATCAGTCTGTTTTGCAGGGAATCGGTTTATTCACGGTGATTTTCAGGAAATCAGCAAAATATATCGATTTAATTTTATATAGTGAAAAATCAGTAGAGGTATAATAACGATTTATAAATAGAATTATTGGGAAAAATTTTAAACCTTAACAGCAAGCAGTTTAATGTCATTATGCGTCGTCCTTCTTTTCAAAATTGTGAATTCCATGGCTTTTGGTTGAAAACATGAACCAAATTCACCTGTTAGAAAGTTGTCACATGATACTCAGGTGACCTATAAGGTCCGTGGGTATATGGAGACCGGTTTTGGAAAATCTTATAAAACAGAGGATTAGTTATATGCTTATATATCAATTAATGTGTTTTTCGACATCATGACGTCAAATTTAACGTGTAGCTACAAGTTTAACTCTAGTAATACACTGTCTACATATACGACATAAACGAGTAAAGTTATCGATTAAATCCTTTTATTTTTTTCATTCACTTGATTGATTCTTATGCGATAAAACAAAACACTAAAATTTTCACTGAATGCTGATTATCAATAAATTAAACTGATACCAAGCAGCATGCTTCTTTTGTGCGCAGGATTCATTTGAAGAAGAATCCGTCCACACACCCAGTCAGAATCCCTTGGGTGATTTTTATGCGCCGGGATCGAAAGATCCGGGGAGTATATTGTTTTTCTCCTGCCTATCTGTCTACAAACTTAAACCTTCGCCGTTACTTTTGTACATTGAAAGATAGAGACTTCATATTTGGTATGCGTACACCCCCAATTAAGCTCTTTCAAATGACACCAAGGTCAATGTCCTTGTGACCTTGACTGTGACCTATATTAAAAGATAGCTTTTTGTCTGCAAACTTAACCTTCGCCATAACTTTTGAACCATGAAAGGTTGAGACTTCAAAATCAATTCATATTTGGTATGCACACTCCATTAATTAAGTCACCAAGGTCAATGACCTTGTGACCTTGACTGTGACCTCTGTGCTAAAGCTTTTTTTAACCTTCACCATAGTTTTTGGACCATTAAAGACAGAGACTTCATATTTGATATGCATACTTCGCTAATTAAGTTTTTTCAAATGATACCAATGTCCATGATCTCTTGACCTTGTCTGTGACCTATATGTTAAAAAATAGGTTTTTCGTACTATTGCCATACATTTTGAACCATTGGAAATGAATATTTGTTATGCAAACTCCACTAATGAAGTTCTTTCGAATGGCACAAAGTCAATGACTGTGACGTATATAAAAAATAGCTTTTTCGTACCTTCGCCATAACATTAAAACCGTAAGAGATGGAAACTTCATATTTTGTATGCATACTCCACTTATCCAGGTTTCTTTTAAATGACACCAAGATCAATGATCTTGTGGCCTTTACTGTGACCTATATGCTAAAAATAGCTTATTTCGAACATTGTTGCCGCCCGTTGTTGTAATGTATAGAGAACCTTTAAACTAGTGTATCCGCGGAAATATTATGAGCGCGTACATAGCTTATTAATATCACGCGGAAAAAAGTACTTCTACAGTAATTTTGTCAAAATTAAAGGAGTAGATCCTTATGTTGCGGGTTTGAATCCCTTTGTGGGACGTGGAGACTGGTCATTCAAATGAGACCGTGTAAACCAAGGGCCCAAGTCCCAATAGATGCTGGCTCAAAAAGATCCCTACTTTTCAATGGTTGTCAGTTCCTATTATAGGAAATAATGTGTAGCTCTCCGCCGGCAAGCCTACATATGAACAAAAAATTCCTGAGAAGGCTATGCATATTATGCCCCTCCCCACAAAATGCTATGCAATTTGATTTTGGTTAAAAATAGACATTCCCCACCCCAGATAATTTTGTTTAAAAAATAAATAGTGCTGAAAAATAATGTAATATCTTACATTAAACTTTACTACCCCAAATTAGGTATCCATATTATGCCCCCCCCCCCATCCCCAGTTAACCAAGACAATATGCACTTTGTACTGAAAAATTGATCAACAACAACGCCTCACCAAAAATGTTTTCAAAAGTAAAGAAGTGGATCCTAATATTGCGGGTTTGAATCCCTATGTGGGACGTGGTGACTGGTCATTCAAATGAGACCGCGTAAACCAAGGGCCGATGTCTCAATAGATGCTGACACAAAAAGATCCCTCACTTTTCAAATCTCCGCCGGCAAGCCTAAATATGAGCAAACAATTCCCGAGAGGGATATTAAACAAAATACATTGTACTATCAACCTTAACTTGTTTAATGTCCGGACTCCCTCGAGAGAATTTATCTCTTATGAGATATTGCCAGTGAAGTCCCTGTCGCGAGGGGATGCTCCGCTTAGCAGTGCCCTTGTGGACTTTTTAACGCAAGTGATTATAAAACTACAGGTACGCTAGTTGATTTCTTTTACAAATTTACGGGAAAAAAGGATTTAGATGATAGAAGGAATATTAGCCTATTGGAAGGCCGATCCTTCATATATACGCACTGGAATGCTAATAGACGTTTGCGGCCGATGAACTGTGGTTGATTTAAATCCTATTGAACGTAAAGGTGAGATGCTCTTGGAACGTGATGATATATTTATATATATGTAAATTGACATTACGTAATATCGTAAAGAGTAATTGGAATTTAGTGATTTTCTTTCAATTAAGGTAGTACAAAACATCCCGGGATTCTATTTTTACAAATTTCTTTAAAAATACTGGAGAAAAAAGAATGATATTACTAAAATGACAACAATTAATTATCCCTGTAAGAAAAATAACAAGATATGGCACGATAGCATCATATTTTGTGAATAAATCAGAGAATCCTTTATATTGGTCACTTGGGAGCTTACATTTTGGAATGTGTTTACCCTATCTTAGTGCAATAAACAAGCATGTAACAGTCTGTTATAAAATGCAGTGTAACTTTTGTTCAATAAATAGTAGAGGGCTGATATTTAGACACATATATAAGGAATCTCGGTTGCTCGTATACTATAAAGGTCAAGGTCATACCATGAGGTCAAAGGTCAAATATTGTGACGTCATCTACTGAATCTTTTAGGTTTTTTTTGCCATTCAAATTTTTTTAATCGCCAAAATGTCAGAAACTAATGGTTCAATTTTCTTTATTTTTACACATTTATTCCGGAACCCATTTTACTTATTCTGTTAAATTTTGACAAAAATTGAATAATACATTTTTACTTTAGGAAACTTTAAGTGTATTAAATTTACATGTGAATTTTCAATTCCAAAGCTATGTATGTTCTATTTTTACTTAAAATTTTTCTCAAATGAACCAGTATCAATATGACTCACTTTTTAAAAGTAACAAAAAGGTTATCTATATCAAAATTATAACACAAACTTGCAATAGATCAATTGATAATTCTAAAATAAGGCTCATTCTCAAGTCGCGTGTCTGATTTCACAATTTTCTTACAGGGGTCTGATATGCCATATTTCAATGTGGGCAAAATATGTTTGGTTGAATTTTTTTTTTCATATTTTATATTAAAAGAGATTTTGTATCCTAGAACAAAATATCAAATTTTCAGAAAAAATGAATTTGAGGAAAAATTTGGCCTATCTATGCTAGTTTTTTGTGTGTGTGTATCTCTTCTGTTTTCTTTAATTATGCCGAAATAAAAAGAAAGAAATTCCACGAACTTTGGTCAAATTCTTGTATAAATTTAAAGCATTACGTTCTTAATTGTTTTCATTAATACAAGAGTTCAGTATTGGCATTTGCAGTCAATCTTTTTTGACATTGTATTTCAAAGTAATTTACTAACCATCGAGATCGTCTTTGCTAGATTCACCAAAACTCTGCCAGTACGCCATACGGTAAAATTCCCAAATCCGAACAAAAAAAGTATATATAGCGAAGGATTTATAATAAGCTGTGTTGACAAAGTAGTATATGGCCACTGCTAAGGTCACAGATATGGTCACCCAAAGAAAAACCAGAAGATCCTTCAACTACAAATATAACAGAAGTATTTTATAAACTCGCTTCAAATTTAAATTTTGATGGTGTTTCACCTGAACACATTTCGTAACTAGAGGCCAAGGGCTTCTATAGCTCACCTGCGCATTGGATTGGATTGGAATAAGGCAAAAAAAGCAGTTACGGTACTCCGATGCTCAGGTTCTAAAAACCAGGCATTGACTAATTGAAATTGCTCAAGAAGATGTCTCTGGATTCTTAGTTATGTGTTTTTACCAACATAATTCTTCGAACGTAATCTTTAAAGTTAATTATAATTTATAAAGAAAATAAATAAATGTCAAATAAAATTTTATGAAATGCGAATAAAACCACCTACTACACCTACTAGGTTTTTCCAATTCAAATACCATCAACAGACATATTTTAGAAACTAGTAAACTATTTGTTCAGAGAACAATAAGACGTCTTTCCACCTTTTTACGTCTTTCCGTGTCATTTGGTTTGAAAAAAAAGAAGAAAACGCAAAAAAGAAGAAAAAAATCCTTAAAAAAGCTAATTCAGAGAATTTGTGTTCCCCGCTTAGGGAAAAAGTAAACCTTGCGCAGATAGGGAAAAAGTAAACCATGCGCAGATAGGGAAAAAGTAAACCATGCGCAGATGGGGGGGGGGGGTTGGATCCCCTTGACATAATTTGTAGAATTATTAAATGTATACTGAAGCAAATAAAATATGCCAATATGGATAAAAAGGTTTGATTGACTATTCTTTATTATGTGTGTAGATGATTCTTTTAATAGGGAATATTTATCACACTGAAATGATGATTTTATGAGTTTGTACAAGCCAGACCTCATAAATTTTTCATTTCACATGCTGAATACTATTATTTAGTAAAAAAAAAAAAGTATTTCGGGAAAAAAATGGGTTTTACGGGATGCGAACCCTGGCCCTCTAACATGTGAAGCGAGAGACATACTACTAGACCATGGGGCCACGTTATCAAGTTGAAAATTATATACAAACATAAAGGCACATACATGTATATATTCACGTTCGATATATTTTGTCAAAATTTAACACAATGCATGGTGTCTGATTTAACCTTTATTAAACAGTTCTAATAGATGTAATAAGAATAAGAAGTCCACCGAGAACCTGTTTCATACGTAACAACTCTCCTTCATGTCCCTGTGCTAAAAATAGCGACATGTAATACAATCAATACTAATAAAACAAACGGATGGGACAACACTTTGCGAGGGGTGAAAGAGGTCCTAGGGACTTTTGGTATAAAATTACATTGCAAAAGCTCAACATCCTCTTGAAATATCGCCCGAAAACGAAAGTGTTACACACATACAGAATGTATACATTTATGACCTTTAAATTTGACCTTTTGACCTCAAAATCAAAAGGGGTCTTCTTTAGTCCATAGGGAGTTGCTATGCAAAATTTATTGCAAAAGCTCAAAGGGTTCTCCAGATATCGTGTGGAAACCAAAGCGTTACAGACAGACAGAAAGACGGAAGGACAGACAGACAGACCCAAATTAATATCCCCACTTTCAAGCGGGGGACAAAAATATATTACATGTGCTCCAGCATGATTCGATCCCTGGACCCTCTGATTAGCAGGCGAGCTTTCTAACCACTACGCCACGGGTTCCGTAAAAATTGTCCTGTATTATTGTCGAGTTCAATTTTCCGGGATTTCCTTGAAGTAGCGCCAATTAATAAACTTCTGACAAGCTCCTAGATGTGTATGTGAGTTTGAATGAGATTGTTTTCGAGTTAAAATGTAAGGTATATGGTCTGATTACAATTTTGATATTGCAATTAACGGAAACACATGCATTTGAGGCTGCGTACCAATTTATGTATTTGAAAAAGGCCGCGTTCGTTTTAACAGATATGGTGAACTCATAGGTAAGATTTAATTATTTTCTCTATTTGAATTGAATTAATAGTTACCAGGATTAATCAAACTTGAAAGATGCATCCCAGGAAGAAAACGGTGTCACTAAGAGCGTGGGCATTTATTCGATAGGAAAAATCGCTATTTTTGAGATTCATTCATTACTATTAAATCTAAAGAAAACTGAAATAAATTCCACATACTAAAGAAAGCTAGAATAATTGGTATTAAAATGTTGTAGTAGAGGAGAAGAATCGAATGATATTAAAAACAAGTGAAGAAATAGCCAATACTAGCTTTAATTATTAACACGCATTCTCTGTAAGCACCAACGAATTTACAATAGGGAGTGGAAACGACATGTCTCAGATTTTGATGAAATTTTCACCATAGGTGTGTCTTGGTACAAAACTAGAAAATATGGTGTTGGAAGTTCCACACGTGCACTTGGTTGCCATGGAGACGGATCCATTGAATTCGGCCATTTTTGGCCCATTTTGACTAATTGAAAACATGAAAATTGAGGAAATGTAAATGAATACTTATCGGTATCTAATACACTCTAACAAAAATCATTGGATCATATGGTAACATGACGTTTTAAGGTACACAAAGCATATAATCGTTTATTCTAGAAATATTCTTCCTGTAAGAAAAAGGTCATGGAAACTGACATGGTTTCTAAAAATTTGAAAAATTGGGAAATTGGAATTTTTGGAGAATTTTGAGGCTAAATAAGAAAAATTGTCCGCGGAAATTTCCAAAATCTTATGTCTGTTATTATACCAATCGCATCATCTTGGGTCTTTCCGTCAGAGATCGGAAAAACAGTCTCGAATGTATTAACATCACCGGATGTTAAAAATTTTTACATTTCCTGTTTATTCAAATATAGGATAGACGGAGTTAGAAGTCCCTTCTATGGTATATTTTAGGTAATGTCAATACATTGAATAAAGATTAACTTCATATTCTAAAGATAAAAGGTCTCCGTGCATTTATTTCAAAGATCCTGAAAAAGGAGTGTTGTCATGGCGGCTACCATATACATTCAAGGTCGTTTTTCCGCTAGTCGTAAAGGCCCGAGAAGTTGCGATTGTTATTATACCTTTGGAATGAGTAGTGTCATTTCATGAAAAAACATAAGTGGGTTTTTGCTCCTATTTTTAGTAACATGTATCTATAAAAAGATATATTTTAGAAAAATGTGAAAAATCAAATTTTGGCAAAGTTTTATTTGTCATGACTGCATAATTAGAACGTATGTTGTAAAATTTAAAATTTTAATGACAAGAGCTAGACACCACTAGCTGGTATGGACAACGGTTGAAGGGAATTCCCCTTTCTATTTTTAGTATCAGGTGGCTAAATATAGAGATGTCCCTGAATATTAGGAAAAATGGCATTTTTGTTCTAATAATTAGGAAATATTTTGTAAAATTTGAGATTTTAATGACAAGAGCTGGACACCACTAGCTGGTATGGACAACGGTTGAGGGGAATTCCCATTTCTATTTTTAGTATCAGGTCGCTAAATATAGAAATGTCTCTGAATATTAGGAAAAATGGCATTTTTGTTCTAATTGGAAGATTCATATAAAAAGTTCTAACAAATATTAAGCTCTCTACAATATGCTTTCAGAATGTTCAGCAACAAATAAATTTCAGACAGAAAAAGATGTAGATTTTGCCGATATCCATTGGAATTTAATTACACTTATGAGACTCACTGTAAAACTCTCAGGACACTTTTTTAGGTATCTTCTATATGCTTACCTGGATTTTATGTCGATATTTGGTGTCGTTTAGTTGTAAAAAATATTCTGATTTGCTAATGATCTTTTTTACAGAGAAGAGGAGGGGGGTTATATTATATAAGCGTTTGCTAAAGTTTGAGTTGTAAGATCTCCAACTACTTAAGCTTGATTGTGACCTTTGGATCAATGGGGTTAAAGATCAAGGTCATTTAAAAGGGTCAAAGGTTAAGATCATAAAAAAAAACACTTATAAAGTTGAACTAACATTTGAAGCTAAATCTAGGTAAAGGTAATGAATATATCTTTTTAACTTTTGAGAAAAGGTCAAGGTCAAATATGAAGGTCAAATCATTTACAGGAAAAAAAACATATACAAACAATTTTGATACTTTCCAAATGACCTTGACCTTTGACCTTATCTTCAAGGTCAAAGGTCGAAAGATATCATGCATTGTCCCAATGACTTTACAACTTGTCATTAAAAAGTTTTTAGTTCTTGGTAAACATCACAAAATGTAAGGAGCAATAACTACTAAAAATGGTTGACAAATCCTTTCACAATGAATAGATTTAAGAGTCTACTACTAAATTAGTCGCAGACATTGTGGAAAGGACTTTTATAGGCAGTGCCTGATGTCCGATCCAATTATGTTCATTCATAATAAAATATTGTTTAAATTAATTAGTCGCAGACATTGTTGAAGCTTTCGAACGTCTGCGGTTTACGGTTTTGGAAGAGTAGTGATAACAATGGTTTAAACCGAAAGGGACATGAACTTTTAGAGGGGTCAATCTTAGGGGACAAGCATGAAATCTCTGAAATTGTTTTAAGAGTACAGATTGAAGATGCAAAGATGTTTAAAATTTGTTGAAGAACAAAGGAGCTACAAAAAAACCTTAAATTTTCATATTTTGAATGACCTTGCCTTTGACCTACTTTTCAAGGTCATTAAAGGATAATAACTCATATAAGGGGTCATCAGATCCGTTCACACTGGAACATACAAGTTATGCCCAAACTCCCTGAAGATATAAATGGAGGTTTCATGTCCCTGCGGTTTAGGGTTTCGGAGTAGTAGCAATAACAAGTCTCAAGTTGTTGCAAGTATATAATTTATGGCTATTTCTTCAATTGTTGTTAATATCATTCGATTTTCCTGCTCTACCACATTTTAATACCAAGCATTCTTGAAATGTATTTAATAGGAAAAATCGCTATTTTCGAGGTTCATTCGATTTATACGGTATTAAATCTAAATAAAATTGACATAAATTCCATATACTAAAGAAAGTTAGAATGCTTGTTATTAAAAT